GTTTAAAATAATAATAATAATAACAATAAAGAAATTGAAGATACTAGGTAAATATATAGAGATAGTAGCTGGATTACTAACTTCTTAGGGGAATGGCACAGGAGATGGGGGAAGTGGGGAGCTAACAACAATGAGTATGAGAAGAAAATGTTCTGAAATTGATTGGGGTGATGATTGCACAACTCTTCTTGATATGATTGAATGATTGAATTGTATGATAGGTGGAGTATATGCCAACAAACCAGTGGTTCTCAACCTTCCTAATGCTGCGACCCTTTCATACAGTTCCTCATGTTGTGGTGACCCTGCCAACCATAACATTCTTTTTGTAGCTACTTCATCACTGTCATTTTGCTACTGTTATGAATCGGGCAACCACTGTGAAAGGGCCATTTGACACCCCCCCCCCAAAGGGATCACGACCCACAGGTTGAGAACGGCTGCAAGAAACCTTTTTAAAAGAACTGAAAAAGAAAGGAAGTCCCATGGACTGCTAAATGGACAAACCACTCTGTCTTGGCAGAAGTACAGTCAGACTGCTCCTTTGAGGCAAGGATGGGAGACGTCGTCGCACGTACTTTGGGCATGTTGTCAGGAGAGACCAGTCTCTGGAGGAGGACATCACATTTGGTCCAGGAGGAGGACGAGGGGAAGCCCCTTCACGAGATGAACTGACGCAGTAACAAAGGACTCCAGCCTGGGGACAATCGTGAGGATGTCGCAGGACCCAGCCTTGTTCCGTGCCCTTGCACAGAGGGGTGCCGTGGGTCAGAACAGACACCTAACAACCACACTGTAAGGGGGGTCCTAACCCTTATCACTTCTGAGTGATGGTTGATAAAAAGAGCAAACTAGCCCTGGCCAGTCAGATGCAGACCCCACTCAAGGACACGTCAGTAAGGGGGCTTCCAAATGTTCGTAGAAAAATTGGAATGACTGAAAGATGATGCCATTTTCCCACACACTGTTTGAAGCCCTCTTATAAAAGGACGGGACCCCAAGAATTGCTGGGGATGCCAGAAATCCGGAGAGAGGCTAACAGAAAGAACTGACCTGGCTGAGATCCCGATGTGGCTAACAGACCATGAGAAAATAAACCTCTGTCCTAGAAAGCCGCCCATTTGTGGTACTCTTTAAGACAGCAGCGCTGGGTAATGCAGACACCCTCTGAGCCTTCTCTTTAAAGGCAGATGCCATCCATCAGGCAGGGGTTCATAATTGTCATAATGAAGGCTACTAAGTTTAAAGTACCTGCCGAAAAACGGGGTGCTCTGTATATGGTCATAGTTGTCTCCAAAAATCGTTTGCCTCCCACAGCCGAGGCAGCGAGGTGAACTGCTCTAGCGCCAGGCATCGAGGACATGTGACTGCTGCTGCTTGGGTCACCGTTCATGACTCCCTAGACTCCTGTCCCTGCGCTCTGCTTCCTTCCCTGGGTGGAGGTGAGAGAGGTCCGCCTCCCGCGGGAGCTGGGTTCCCCAAAGCAGACAGGTGTGGCAAAGAAATGAATGGGGAGCAGCTAGCTTCCGGCAAAGGACAAGCAAGACAGGGTGCCCCAGCATTCGGGCCAGGACCGAGGCGGGAAGATGTAAGGCTTTGTTGCACAAAGCTCTGTCTGACTCACCCAGGCTTTATCCTCTGAGCCATGAAGTCCTGGGGCTCGATACAAGGTCAGCCAAGCTAGAGTTCCAGGCTGGGTTGGCCATGCCACCCAGGAGGCCATCACCGGGCTGTGTCCATGTGCCATGAACTCATTTCCAAAGCTGGTGCTTACCTCACTTGGGGGTACTCCCAGTTACAAAAGCTCTGGGGAAAGCTGAGGGCCCCACTGCCACCTCTGTGGACACAAACACAAAACTGGTTTACAGAGATGCAGACCACAGGTGTCAGCAGCCAGCCGCCTAGGGCTGAGCTGTCTCAGAAGGTTACGGTCTCCCAGTGCCAAAGGCTCCACCATTCTATCAGAGGGGCTTCCCCCAGAGGCCTCCCAGATGGGTGTCTGGTGATAGGTGATGTGGGAGCTCCCCTCCACCCTTCTCCCTGGCCCCACCCTCCTCGGCCTTCACATATGCCCAGGCGCCCATCTGAGAGCTGAGAGGCCCGAGGTAAGGGGAGTGCAACGTCTGGGAGAAAGGAAGTGCTGGGAAGGATGGGTCAGGAGGAAACGGGAGTGGAGATGGGGAGGGTACGAGCCTGGAGGGGACTCAACACAGGGTAGAAACAGAGCAGACAGAGAGAGAGGCCTAGGAAAGGAAGATAGCGCAGGGGCAGGGAGGAGAGCAGGGAGGGGACTGGACAGATGCCCCGGCAGGCAGGCTGCTCAGCCCTGTCTCAAGACCCTCCGGGACACGGTTAGGGACCCTTGCCAGGAGAAGCTGAAGGAGACAATCCCTTAGGAGCACTGAGCATGGTCAGGAGAGTGTTTCTTTCCTCTAAGCTCTGGCCATTGTGGGTACCAGCTAAAATTTCCAAGTGCCGATGAGAAGGACGCTAGTGAGCAGGCCATTGGTTCGGAGCAGGCCCATACAGTGTCCCGTATGCCAATGGCATGCAAGGGAATCCTGCAGCTTCTTCTTTATTTTTTCCTAATCAGTGTCCAGGTAGTTTGCTTCTCTGAGGTTAGACCAGAAGCTACCCGGGCTCTTGGGTTTGCATCCTGATCCTGGAAGTGGGGAGGAGCAGGGGGAACCTCGTTTAGCCCCTAGGGCACCAAGTGGAAAAGCGAGCTCAGTTTCCAGGGCAGGAGCCCACAGTGGCCCTCCACTGAGTTTGAGTTTGGCGGGTGATCAAGCTGCCAGGGGTCCCTGGCGTTTGCCAGTCTGGTGTGATAAGATAAGTCGGGGCAGGTTGGCCAGCCCTGTTCTTGCCCAGGAAAGATGCCCAGGGCCCTGCCTTTGACAACTGGGCCTTCCAAATGCAGCCGGACCAGTGAGTGACTGTCTGCTTTGCTGGGTCCCATTGATGACACTGTCCCCGCAGAGTGTTTGTCCGGGACCCAGCCAACCTCCATATGCTGTGGGGACCAGAAAGGTGGTCCCTCCTAGACCAGCGTCCCAGAGCCGAACACGCATTACAGGATGGACCCTCTTGCCTCAGAAGCTGTTATCCATACTGGAGTGGCTTGCAAGGGTCACATGAGTGGCATGAAGAAATCAGAAACGGTGGAAGTCAGAAAGGAGCAAGGCATTGTGGGTGGAGATACCTCAAAGGAGGAGAGATTGGAGTTGGGCCCGAGGCAAGGCCAGTGGGTAGCATCCGGTCAGGAGATGGAGGCATTGACAGCGGTAAGCTTGTAACTTACATTGTTCTCGGCCTCCTCAGATTGGACCTTCTCAAGAAGAATGTGGCCCCAAGGGGCCATCTTTGTGGCCCTCCCCCAGCTGGGACCCATCCTGGTCTGGCTTTTTGCCCGTCATCGGATGCCTGGCTGGTGTGAGGGCCAGAGGAAGCCAGCCTGGTGCCCTCCCCACAAAGTCTTGCTGCTGGTTTGGACAACCATCTACTCAGTCGTAGGGTAAGTGTCCATTTCTCACACCCTGGCTCTGGGACCCACAGCTTGGACCCCCAAAACCCTCTGCCATCGAATTGATTCTGACTCATTGCCACCCTATAGGCAGAGTAGGGTTTAGAGACCATAAACCTTTATGGAAGCTGATTGCCTCATCGTTCTTTAGAGAAGCAGTTTGTGGATTCAAACCGCTGACCTTGTGGTTAGCAGCCCAACACATTAGCACTACACCACCAGGAGTCCCTAACAGGGTACTATAAAAGGATAGGGGCGCTGGTTCCCTGAGCAACCTGCCTGTTATCCTGCCCCTCTGACGTCTGTGGAAACCAGGCTCCCCAACCTTGAACTTCTGCCCCATGTTGACTTTCAAAGGATGGCACCCCATCCTGCCACTTCTAGGGGCCCCACAACCAGAGGCTGTAAAATATTCCCAGAAACCTTCTGGGCCTGCCTAGGGTTCCCGCCAGCCCTTTGCTTCCACCCTCTCCAATCCCCCCAGCCCCTCCCCGACCTCACCATGGCCAACCCCTCCCACCAACTACCACTGCTCCTCACCCACTGCCTAGACCCACCTGCTCCCGCTTGGCCACAAGGGTCCCCTCTTGGTCACCAAGAGTCCTTGCACCGAGTCCTCTTCCATTTGCCATGGCGCGCCCTCCCTCTGAGCTCTTCTGCCCCCATCTTTCCACAGCTATGCCTCGTACCTAGTGTGGAAAGACCTGGGAGGGGGCTTTGGGCGGACACTGGCCCTGCCTCTCGGCCTGTATGCTGTGCAGCTCACCATCAGCTGGACAGTCCTGGTCCTCTTTTTTGCCGTCCACAGCACCGGTCTGGTAAGGCACTCATGCTGAGTAATGCAGGGTCACCAGGAGGGGAAGGGAAACCCCCCCAGGCTCCAGGAAGAGGACTTGAGCAGACCCACCAAGATCAGCTAGGGAGCAGGTGCCTAGACTTGTCCTCACTCCTGTCTCTCGGGTGCATGAAGAAGCCCCCGGGAACATGGCTGAGCTGAACACAGGGTTCGGGCTGTTTCCATTGGGCAGCCTGCCTGACTGCCCTGCCCCTCTGCCCAGGCCCTGCTGCACCTGCTGCTGCTCTACGGACTGGTCATGAGCACCGCTCTCATCTGGCACCCCATCAACAAGCTGGCCGCTCTGCTCCTGCTGCCCTACCTGGCCTGGCTCACTGTGACAACTTCCATTGCCTATCACCTGTGGAGGGACAGCCTATGTCCAGAGCCCCAGCCTCAGGTCACCACGGGGGAGGAGAGCAACTGAGGATGGGGCAGGGTGGGAGCAGAGAGAGTGGCCAGGGAAGGGGTGGGAGAGGCGGCAGGCAGGGCTTCAGAGCTAGGTCAGGGAGTGGAAGGAGAGGGAAGGGGCCAGGAACTACCAATTCCCTAAGGGTGGTGGCTTGTCCCAATGTGGCCACCTGGGGACCTGGTGCTTCCTTTCCATAGAAGTCAAAGTGGGAAGGAGAGAGAGACATCTTTTATATATATATATTTTTACACGCAAATAATAAAATCCTGGTACTGGCTTGGAGTGTGTGATGTGAGGGCAAGTGTGGAGGGCTTCAGGGTGGGAGGGCTTTGTGTGTGTGTGTGTGTGTGTGTGTGTGTACACCCAAGTGCATATATGGCAATGGGGCGGGGGGATATCAAACCCACAGAAACATTTCAGATGCTGGTATTTTTGTTTTTATTGTGGTAAAGATAAACACGCCAAGACACCCAGGAACCCAACAACTTTCACACTTAAACGGTTCAGTGATTTTGGTTGCATATTTGATGTCGCGTCACCATCACTGCGATCTCTGTGCCAGCATCTCACCGCCGTGAACCCACACTCGGTGTTCCTGCCGCTTGGGTTCCTAGATACCGGCTTGTTTCACGTCAGTGGGATCACACAGTGTTTGTTCTTTTGCTCCTGAATTATTTCACTCGGCAAACTGTCCCCGCCCCCCAGCCATGGTGGGGACACAGAATTCTCATTACCTGATGTGGTAGTTACATAATCTGTTGTCAACTTGAGACTATTAAAGAGTGAAGGGCTGGAGTTTAGCCTGTTCCTCAGCTGGATGACCTCATTTGGAGCGCTAAGGAGATAAATAGCTCGCTGGAGGCAGGACACGCGCTCACTCCCTGCAAGACATTCCTGTTGACAAGGCACATGGAGCTATGCTGTTGGGGCCAGTGCCCTGGAGCTGGAGAAGCCACGTGGAGACCCACACCAGCACTGAAATGCTTCCACCACCACCGAATCCACAAGACTTTCCACCCACTGACCTGTGAACATATTCCATGTGCTGTGTGAGTCTGAGGAGGAATTTACAGACTGGTACTGGACATATGGGCTAATATCAGATTTATGGGCTTGATCTGGGCTGGGCTAGGCTGGGATGTTTTTTTAATGTACAATTACTCTTTATATAAAGCTCTATCCTATACACATGAGTGTCTATGAATTTGTTTCTCTAGTCAACCTGGACAAACACACCTGAGAAGAGCTTCCCTAAAAGCAATATTAAACATGAGGGAGCTTCGAAGTGGTCATGGAAACATGGAGCTCAAAGACAATGGACAGAACTTCCCAGGCAACCTATGAAAGTCCCCGCAGGGTCAAGTAGCATCCAAATCGTTCATAACAAGGCACTATGCCAATCGTCTTGCATTTTTTGTTTGAATAAATTCTTGATACTCTCCATGCTCCGAGGGAGAATGGTGACACTTTCCCACCAAGAGTTACAGTCTCCATGAATGAAATATGGAATGATATGATAGATGTATTAAATCCCAACTTTAAAAAAAGTTACAGTCTCAGAGATCCACGGGGAGGAAGTTCTACTCAACCCCTTAGCATCTCTATGAGTCGGAACTGACTCAGTGGCAGTGAGTTTAATAATTGCCATGTCTTACACCGGCAATTAATGACTGTTATAAAAAAAAGAGAGAGAGAGTAAACTAGGGCAGGGGGTGTACCTCAGAATGCTGAAAAGATCATCTAGTGGGAGCTTCTTATCCAAACCTTATTTCTCCTTCTAAAGCTTCTCATTTGCTTTTCAAACCGTCTCTTCTCTGTTCTTACTTCCTCCCTCTCATCTCAAAGTCCGGATGGGCCCAAGCAGGGTCTCTACAAGACCAGCCAGGAAGTCCAGATGCCCTGCAGTCTTGGGTCTCCACCCAACTGCCTACTGGGGTCCCATGGGGAGCTCTGCCCAGGGTTGATCAGTAACACCACACACGCACTGGATCTATTTGGGAAGAGAAGGAAAAGAAGGGAAAAAAACCTCTCTTCGGGGAAAGGAAGAACATCAATTGTTTGTTAAACGTCTCAGGTGGTTCTAATGTACAGCCAGGTCAACACTCCCCACTGGTATTGCTTCTCAAAGTGTGGTCATGGGCCTTCCTGGTACCTGTTAGAGGTGAGGTCCCCAGCACCCCACCCCCAGGGAGGGCACGAGGTGACATGGCTTGCAGTTAGCGCCTGGCATCAGACCATGCTGGGACTGGATCCTAACCCTGACATTTATGAACTGGTAAGCTCATGCCGTGTTCCAAACGGTTTCATTTTCCTGGTCTGTAAAAATGGGAGCCTTGTTGATTCCCCTGTTAGGTGTGGATTTCCATTCAGGGGAAACGCCAATGAACTTGTGCACAGAAAGATATCTGGCCCAGGATACGTGGTCAGTACAAGTGGGCTTGTAAATGTGCCAACCCCATAAAGTGACCCCGTAGAGTCTTCTGGGCTGTAAGCTTTACAAAGGGGCCCCTGGGGGAGCCATGGTTGATGGCTCCTTGGGAGAGAGCTGCAGCAGTCTGCTTTCATGAAGATTAAACCCAAACCAGCCCGTGGCCACAGAATCAAGCCCAATGGGAGCCAGATCGCCATAAAGAGCACACCACTGGAAAGCCTGTGGGGCCGGAGGAGAGTCATTCTCTGTCCTATGGGGCTGCTGTGCGTCCAAGTCCCCTGGAGAGCAATGGGTTTGGTTTTGTTATCTTTGGGATTTTTTTTTAGGAATAAGTTACCGGATTTGTGTCTCACAGAGTCCTCGTGTGGGTTCGAACCACCAACCTTTGGCTAGCAGCTAGGCGTTTAACCATAGCACCCACAGGCTTCCTTCAAACAAGCATTAGCTTCACTTTTCTATGGAAGCAGAATCCCAGAGGCTGACTGTTATTGCATACGCACCTCTGGTTCTAAAACGTTCTACAATCTGAGTCCCAACTTACTTCACGACTTCCCAAGCTATCTAACAGCCAGGAAAAGGGGGAGTGAACCCCCCTCAGGTCTGTGGGTCTGCCTGACCAGAGGCTGAAGCACAAAACAGCTGCCTCCGTGGGTTCTAGAACATTCCTGCAGACCTTACCATCACCTCCGTCAATTTCACAGCAGCTGTTCATTTAATTTCGAACTCCATTTGTAGGCAGAACGATTTTAAATGTGTAAGTTTCATCCATAAGTCATGACTGATAGAGCCACACTGCATATGTAGGTCCTTACCCTTACCCCAGCCCCAGGATCGCTATGTGGTCCTTGGCAATGCCGAGCGTCTGCTATAACGGTCGCCTTGTATGCTGGTATCGTTGATTGTTGCTGAATTGGCACACATGGCCCGACGTGTGACAGGACAAAGTGTCTCCTGACCCTGCACCGCCTCACAATGGGTGGTATGACTGAGTCCATGGTGTAATTTGAGTGTCTTGGAAGCTAGGGCACTTGTCTGCTAACATTATATCAGGCAATAGTCTACTGTCGTTCACGAGCATTTCCATGGCTAACATCCAGACATGGGTCATCAGGCCTTTCTTCCTAATCCATTTTAGTCTGGACGCTCCCCTGAAACCTGTCCACCATGCATGAACCTCACTGGGATTTGAAATGCCAGTGGCATGGCTTCCAGCATCCCGATAGCAGGCAAGCCACCACAATACAACTAAGGGGCAGATGGACAATAGACCCTCTCCTATAGGCATTATAAATATTTGCTACCAATGTTTTCCCTGTTGACCAGTGGATGAGGCGGGGGAGTTAAACTGAACCCCAAAGAAGATGTGACACACCTGTCATCTGCCCTTGCCTTCCTCGGGGCAAGCTGAAGCCATGAACTCAGGGTCACAGGTGCCTCGAGTTTAGGACACTCGGCCCAAGAAAGAAGCATCATTTGGGCAGTGCCCCAAGCCTAATATAGCATGAACCACGCTAAAGGGCTTCCTGGCTTAGTCCACCCCAAATTATGATCCTAGGACGTCCTCCAAGTGCCCCCTCCTGTACCTGCTCCTTGGTTCCTGGACTCAGCCTTAATCCCACAGTCTCCCAACCTGGCTGGCCTCTTGCCCTTCCACTGCCTCCACTTCTCAGCTGCGTGCTCCCAAGCTGAGCCCTGTTCTCTTGTTACCTGGAGTTGTGCTTCAGTAAAGCTGGAGCTGCCAGCCGTCTTTGCCAGACGCATCCCATCCAGGAGCCAGATCCTGTGTGCGCTTCCTGGCCCCCCGGCAGTGGTTTTCTATTGGTCTCCGGGTGGGTACAAGGAGTCTGAGTATGATTGGCTCGGTGAGTGGGGGTGAGGTGAATGCTACCCGGGTCTGTGCCGATCTGCTGCTACCTAATTTCCGGAGAGCTGTGGGGAGTCAGCGGGAAGCATCTCAATCTATGTATCCTAGTTCCCGCATTCTTGGGTCTTTGGACCGGATCTTCCTAGTTCCGTCTTGGCTGCGGAATAGAGCAGAATTTTTAAACTTGAAGTGAACCTGAACAATTACTGGAACAGGAGGGGGGTGGGGGACCACTTGGTTGAATCTCTGCCTCACAAACACAATGGCAGTGTAGATGTTGCATAGCAACTAACCCTCTTGCCCTCCGATTTTGAGCAGGATGGGAAACAGCGCTGTTCTGTCCAAAGATGGCCAGCAACCATGTGTTCTCCACCGTCCTGACAATAATCCATCCACAAAACCAGTTATAGGGGCCTCCCCCTAGGCCTCCCGATCCGCTTTTACTCTCAGGGGGTGTTCTTCCAGTAGCTGCCACTGTCTCCTGCAGGAGCCTGGTGGTGTCGTGGTCAAGTGTGGGGCTGCTGACTGCGAGGTCAGCAGTTCAAACCCATGAACTGCCCCGAGGGAGAAAGAAAGGGCTTTCTACTCCCACACAGAGTTACGGTCTCAGAAATTCACAGGGACAGTGCTACCCTCAGCTCAATAGCAGTGAGTTGAGTGAGTCTCATATAGCAGGTCTGATTCAGGGCGGCCCTGGACAGGACAACACATTGTGATCCA